TTAGCACCCCGTACAGTCTACACCATTAGCAAAACAAAACACATATTTAAAATACACATATAATGTATATGTGTGTATGTGTATTTTAATCTCCACTATTATAGATGTACATACATACACAATTACCAAAGGTAATTTTATGCCCAAGCGTATTTAATATGAAATACCATGCACCAGTAAGTAAACGTTTTTATTTCTGTAATTATATTTTTAACAGATTGAATAAAGATTTGTTCAAAGTTTTCCCTTTTGGAATTTAATAGAAAAGAAAGAAAATTAATGCTTGAAAAATACTTTATTAACTGTTTTAACACTTCTTTAAATTTTAATTGAAAGACGTTAGGAGGCGAGATGTTTAATGATTAGGAATCCAGAAGTTTTGGCGCGTATTTTGACGTACCCAAGTACACTGTGGATAATTCAAAAAGTCAAGTAATGAATCAAACTCAACTATTCATCGAATAAACTTAGAATAACAAAATTAACAGCACTCTGAAATACCAAGAACTTTAAACACCCCTATCATTAACACAGAAAATAACGCAATAATGGAAGCCGCTAAAAACACATTCTTTGGTTTTATTTGTGAACCCACATAACCAGTAAGATTGTATCACATTACTCATTACAATATACAAGAAACTTTACACCAATTATTCCATATATAATACAACATCTCATAGGCTCCTTTTTCGCCTAAGATTCACAGTACAACACATTAATATCCAACGTGGTTTTGCTTCCAAGAGGCACGAGATCGAAGATATAATAACACAAACAAATACAGATATAATAGTAATTACAGAAAGTATGCTCAAGAACTCAAATAGCCATAAATTTACTGGCTATACGTCAATCAGAATCGACAGATTAAATAGAAATGATCCTAATAGGGACATAGCATAAATAAATAAATCAACCTTATGTATGATACAGATAGCAGCTGATAGAACAACAAGTGAATGCATAACAATAGATATCCGTCTAACAAATAGTGGATGTATTACAGTAGCAGGTATTTACTGTTCTCCCTCAAAAATTGATATTAATTTACTAAATAAATTAAATGAACATAAAAAATGGATAATAATGGGTGATCTTAATATCAAACATTCAGTTTGTGTATACAGTACAATTACCCCAAATGGAACAACATTATTTAACTTCCTAGAAAATAGTAAGGGTATGTTGTTAAATGATGCCACTCCTACACACACGTCTTTCGTACAATTCTAGTGATATCCGAAATCTATGTTTGTTTGTTTGTTTGGAATTAAGCACAAAGCTACACAGTGGGCTATCTGTGCTCTGCCCACCACAGGTATCGAAACCCGGTTTCTAGCGTTGTAAGTCCGCAGACATACCGCTGAGCCACTGGAGGGCTCGAAATCTATGTATATGTTCATATCAAATCAGCAATAAATGTTCAAAGTTTAATGTAGGCTTTGATTTAGACAGTGATCATTTATCCATTTCGAGTGTCTTCGATCTTTAACCCCACCATAATAAACCCATAGGTGGATCAAATTCAATTACAAAAAAGCAAATTGGAAAGAATAAGCAAATAGTCTTGATAAATTACTACCGAACTCAAAGACAAATCCAGTCGAAAAAACCATCAGATAGTAATGAATATTGTCAAACAATCACTGAGTGTCTCACTAAAGCTGCAAACCAGTCCATACCAAAACAGAAACAACATACAACTCACAATAGATGGCAACCATATGCACAAATAATAAATATTATAAAAGAACGTCGCCATCTAAGAAGATTACATATGAAAAATAGAGACCCACACATCAAAACACAGATAAACACACTAAGAAATAAAATACGAAATGAAATAAAACAATTAAAACAAGATGAATGGGATCATTACCGCTCAAAATTAAAACCATACAGATCCAAAGATTTTCTGAACACATTTGAAACGATTTACAAATAACCATAACACAAACAAAACCTATCTTACTATAAACCATGAAAACAAGACAGCCTTTACAAGCATACAAAAAGCAGAAGCTTTCAAAGAACAATTACGAAAAACATTCAAAACACATGATAAACCTGATATGGATACCCATTATTTTACTACAGTAAATGAGTATATACAGCAAAACAAACACATTTACATACCAGTATTTTTAGTTGAGTCGATCAACCTCAAAATTCACAACAAAGAAGCAGTAAAATTACAAGCACAATCACCAAAATAGAACAAATTACATCTATAAAACGTACAAAAAACAAAGCACCGGGAGAAGGTAGTATACAAGCTATTCTCCTGAAAAGCATTACTTATCCCTCAACTCAGGTTATAACCCAGCCTCTTGGAATCAAGCAAACGTTATTTTTCTAAAAGAAGGTAAACCAGCAAGTAATCGACCAATTGGCCTGACCAACTGCATAGGCAAAAGTTTGGAAAGAATAGTGAGTAATAAACTCCCCACATTCCTAGAGATCACGTTAAAATTATCCTAGAGATCACGTTAAAATTATCCTAGAGATCACATTAAAATTATCCTAGAGATCACATTAAAATTATCCTAGAGATCACATTAAAATTACCCTAAGTACAAAACAGTTTCAGAACATTTCGACAAACAACAGATCATTTAGTTAGATTAACTGAAACCGTAACAGATAGCTTTAATCAAGACAAATGCACTGTCTCCTGTCTTCTCGATATAGAGAAAGCATTCGACATTATATGGTATAATGGCTTAAGATACAAAGTGAAACAAATGGATTTATCAACAGGTGTTATTCGCTGGTTGTCTAGCATTTTAGATAACATATAAATGTAGAGTGAATGCGGAAGTCACCTACTCAGAGTGTTTTACTCTTGAGATGGGTGTTCCCCAGGAAGGGGTGGTTCGACCCTTCTTCTTCATCGTGTGTTTAAGTGACATGCCCCTAACAGATCCAAATTTTAGTCTTACATCTCAATTCGCAAACGATGTGGCGATATGGAAAAGTTCAACGACCCCCTCAATAACAGCCACAAATTCACAACCAGTTTTAAATCAAGTAGTTAAATATTGCCAAAAACATAGAATTAAGACAACTGTTTCGAGGCCAATTTGGTATTATTCTTGAATTCCATAAAAACATGTAAACTCCTACCAGAATTACACTTACATGAAACTCATCTGCCTATCACCACATCAGCAAACTTTCTTCGATTAATATATTATTCTACATTAACGTGGAATAATTAAATAAACCAAATCACAAATAAAGTATAGCAACAAGCAAACTATGCTAGGAGACTGTCGGGTAAAACTATTGGAGCATCACCAGAAAATATCATCTATAAACAGAATATACGTACAGTAATTGAATATGTCTACTCTACCCGGCATGGATCAACACTACACCGTCGCATATTAACATATTACAAATAATACAGAACTCTGTAACCACCACAGCTTTAAGATTACACAGAACAAGAAATACAAAATCCATACAGAAATATGCAAACATACAACCAATTCACGACAGACACATAGATTGGTCATTCAAATATTTTGACAAAAATCATGAAAATACTAATTTACTAACCAACATAGATCGTCATCTCATACATGATGATGATGATAGTCCTAGTATCTCTCTCCACTCAATATACACAATAAGAAAAAGTAATAATTTAAAATATTAATGTAATAATAACTTATCAATGTCTGATAACGTAATCTAGTGAAAAAGTGACGATTTTCCAATGGAACTATTTGTGAGTGTAGGACTGTTACAAAACCAAATGAAGTGAAGTGGCAGAAAAGCACTAAATGTTATAAGCTTAACATTCATGGACATGGCCTTGACGAGAGAAGTAGGATCAGTGTAATTACCTTAATGTTTGAGCCCTGATATTGTGAAGTAATCATATAGCATTTGACAGTTAATATACAAATCGTAAAGGAGGGCGGAAGAGATCTAACTACCACCTGACCCTCCTAGGTCTCGCACAACACGACCGAACACAGATCCAGACAGATCGCAGATAACTCCAAAACCCGATGTGGCTTTGTTATGAAACACACGCAAACACGCGAAATGTTTAACTGTTTTCTGCTTTGTATAGTTTTTATACTGAAGAGTCGCCTGTGATGCTACGAAATCGATAAAATAAAATAATAGCTTGGTAAGTAAATAGCAGTTTTGTAAACAATAAAGGATTTGGGTTTTCTTAGATATTACAAGTCTACCTTGTTCAACTACACAGGCTAAGGTTAATGACAGAAACAGTGTGAATCGGTCCTTCCACAAAAACGATTTCGCAGTTTGCATTTATGTTCTTCAACTCTTTAAACAAACTATGGCCTTCACCATTGTCTAGTCCTAGTTTAAACTTCCCTTACAGCTGAGTTAATAGCCCTTTGAAACAAGCCAGCTCCTACTCTGTTTAAATGTAAATCATCCATGATCCCACAAGTCCAAACAGCCAATCTGCTCATCCTTACATATTAACCTAAGCCTAGCATTCAGCCCTAGTAGCCTACTTATAATTTCATCTCCACAATTAATTCTCGGCAGTTTCCCTGACACAATTAAGTTACGGCCCATTTCTTTAAATGCCTTTATCAACCCCTTATACTTATCAAATAGCTTCTCTGACCTACCTTTCCTTACATTATTAGCCCCTACATGCACAACAAAAACTGCATCTCTGCTAGCCCCCTTTATTATATATCTTGCTCTGTCAGTTATATCTTCCACCCGTGCCCCTGGATAGCATAATCTAATTCTTTTCTCCCTATTTACCCCACAGATTATCCTATCTGCATGCCTTGTCAAAGAATCACCTATAACATAACCTCCTCTAGTTTATCATTGGCTTGCCTTATGCAGATGAGAAACTACTGGAGTGAGGGAAGTCAAAAGGGGCAGAGATTTTTGAGAGAAGGATGCGAGGAAATACATTTTAATACATAAGAAGAAAGCCTGATAATTACGTGACTGAATTAACACAATAGTACGATATATTTCTTTACCCTATCCTCGATTCTTTCAGCCTCCGTCGTTGCTCTTGACTCCTCCTATCTTTGAAACTATGCGTTCCTCGACTAACTGAACTACGACCTGTAAGTGACGATAGACTTCCATGTATGCGCCGTCTGGTGGATCGAAGACCATCAGCGGCTCCACTTCGTGAGTTCAATACCCGTTTATTGTTATGTTTCAGTCCTAATAACCTTAGAACCTGAATAGGCACAAGAAAAAGACGTGAACATTTGATTTAAATATCTTGATTTTATTGATTACGTGATAAAAGGAAACAATAATTTAGAACGAAAATATTTATGTTATTTAATTGAAAAATAGTAAATAAAAACAACAACAGAAAACGCCAAGAGAAACATTTTCTTTCAGTTTAGGCTCTCAGTTTTTTTTACTATCTATAGATATCTCAAATAAGTAATCAAAAATGTTTGTTTAGGTATAGTTACTCCATTTTTATTATCGATGGATACAAGATTGTAAACATTGTCGTATTATATTTCGGGTTCACTTTAAGTTCAACATATATGTGTATCCTAACTACACATTAGCCTAGACTTAAGCACATTTTATTCTAAATAATTTACATTTTTGGTTGCGCTCTTGACCTTGCGAGTGTTTAGAAATTACATAACTTTGAAGTTATTTCAGTGGTTACAAAGCGATAAAAGTAGATTAGACTTTGAAAAGGAGTGGTTAAAGAAAACAAGCATAAATAGTTTGCCACCTAGAAAGAATTATAATCAACTAGGAGTAATGACGCCCGTTTCACGTTTTCCTGTCTCACATTCAATCTCGTTTTCCTGTCTCCAAAAACTAAAATAGCATATATTCCTAGAACTTAAACACTTTTGTAATTATAAGTTAATTCAAACACTGATAAATAGCTTAAGCTGTCTTGTTGACGAGAATAACTCATTATATAAATGCAAGAATGGCGGGTAGTTTAATCTTTAGGACGATACACTAACACTGATGAAACAGTGCATTCTAATCTTTATGAGTAGACACGTAAGAAATAAATATTTAATTCGTTTTACTGATGGTCAGGTTCATTTTGAGTTTCGTTCTACGTATATAGAGTACTCTAATCGACAGTTATTATTTAATATCAAACGCAATATGACAAAAGCATAGTTTATTTAAAAAATAAATACATAAACGAATAATTTAGAAACGTTTTCGTACTTAAATTCCAATAAATATTTTTCTGTTGTACAAGGTCGTTTCATTGAAACATAATTATTGTAATGTATTATACCTCAGAATACATCGTCTCCAAGCCATCCAGCTGCTTCCGAATTAGGCCAACATCGTTATTTTCCACATTACTTGTAGTGGCGCTGATTTCGCTACTGTAATCGTCCGGGTCTTCAAGTAAGCTCTCCATGTCTAATCCTGTGGTCGTTGACGTCACTTCCGCATCTATAGGATCTGTATAAGATGTTAAACCGTGGATGGATCCTGAAATAGTATATGAATCTATAACTGTGGTTTAAAAATTAATATTCATAGATTGAAATAATTTAAATACGTATTTCATATACGGTTTCTGGTTGCCACTGAAGACGGTATTCCGCAAAAACTCGTCACGATTTGCAAATCCAGTTTTTGGAACGAGTACACAGAAGTATAAACTACATATTCATAAGTATATCTGAAAAAAAAATATTTAATGTTATGTAATCACTTAATTTGAAAATTTATTTCCTCACTAAAACAGTGTTCCTTCTCTGAAAGAGATGAAATTATGTTTGTTTTAGAGCAAAGCCGCATTGAGTTATCTGCTGTGTCCACCGCAGGGAATCGAACCCAGGATTTTAGCATTGTAAGTCCGTAGACTTACCTCCGTCCCACCGGGGGACCAAAGATATGGAAGCGGCATTTCACATGAACTGAACTACAATATTAGATACATTGTAGTATAAAATAATAAATGTTAGTGATTTTTACGTTGACGAAAACACATAACCAGAGTGAAACGCAAACAATTTATTCTTTTTTTTAATATTCCTTTAAATGAGTATAATTATAGTTAACTATCAAAGGTACGCTATCTAGCAAAGTGCTTATCTTCTTATTGCCCAGGTGTAATGATTTAATTCGCGCATATATACGTAATTTTGTTAGTTCTACTACCTGCTGCAGCTTGAATAGCTTCAGAATGTGTTGCTGGTCGATTACTTCCGTTTAGTTGATACTGCTGTGCCCTCTGGTGGGCATTTGTATTTCCTACGATTGATCTGGAAGCCACATGTTTAGTGCGCGTGTCCCAGTGTTTAAACGATCCCTGAGTGATGCTCGCCGTTCGTCGAATGCCAGTTTTTTTGGCAGGAACTCCTTTTCCTGATGTCATAGTTGCTGTCAAGTCATGGCAGTAGTTCTTCCCTTCCAACTGGTCTTTTCTGTTTCTGCAGTCTGTTATAGATGTGACGTTCAAAGCTGTAGCACTAAAAAAAAAAAACCTAGATGTTATAAGATACGATATAAAGTTAAAATACAAAACAATTAGACGATCCAGTTGTTGTCAACTTTACACAAAACACACACTATTAGACTATCAGTTTCTAAGCAAACTTAACATAACACACACATACACTTTTTAAATCAACCATTTCTGGGGAAATTATAAGAATTTATGAGTGAAAGTAAAGAAAGTGTTAGGATATTTTAACCACACCACATCTATAATATCCAGTTCCGACGAGGCCTTTCGCTAATACCAGTGCTCATCACATCAGACGTAGTAGTGGTATATGCGCTGTTTGTATCATCAACTGACATGAACAACAACTGTTATGGTGTGAACTAGATTAAGTAAATGAATTGTAATTATTATCTATTTTATTCACAAATCAGAATTTTAGGTTAAAGATTAATAACACAATATTATTTATTTATTATTATTATTATTATTGCACTTGAATAAGTTTTACTATCATACAGAAGATCTAACTAACCAGCAAGTTAGCCTTATTGTTCCCGGAGAAGATCGAGTAACTACAGCGTCAATGGGAGGAAACTACTTTAGCATTTCTAAGATCATATGAATGAGAGTAAAGAAGAACGTGTTTAAAATATTTCAACCACACTACACCTGCAATAGCCAGTGCCGACGATGCCTTTCGTCCAATTTCAGAGCTCATCAGGCCAACTGGGATAAGACAGGCAGTGCTATATATATCAACAATTTTACACAAAACAAACACGCTATTAAACAATTGATTTCTTGTCAACTTCACATAAAATACACACAGTGAAACCATTTATTTTTTGTAACTTTCACATAGAAAACACATTATTAGATTAATGAATTTTACGTTAACTTGAAACAAGTCATAGAATATTAGTTCGATGAACTGCACGTGAACTTGACTGAGATTATCAGACAGATGTACCTCATGTACACAACTCACAGCTAACATGATTCAAGCATTTTACCCAAACCTGAGACATACCACATTCAATATTGGAACAATGCGTTTCACATTGATTTGATGAAAATAACAAAATACTAGATTGTTGTATTTAACGAAAGTTAAAAGAAATATTAGAATCGTGTATTGCTGTATTTGATGCAGAAATGACAAAAATCACATAGTCTAAGCCTAACTTTTCCTTAATATACGTTTAAACTCTATTATTAGTTGAACATTTGGAGTTTTTGTACGAGTTGAACATTTCTATCAATGGTTACAAACACATATATTTTAGATTCATCTGAACCCCCCCCCCTCCCAAGTTCTCAGGTTTTTTTGTCATATTTTATTGAAAAAGAAAATTTAGTCATCTTTTTTAAATTACATGAAGTTTAAAATGTTTTCTCTCATGTGAATACATTGATAAGATGTTGAGATTATTAACAACAAAAAAAAAGATTTTCGAAAGACCAAGCGGGTGTGGAAGATTAGAATGGTTTTCCTAGATATAATTTAAATATCTTATTCGAGTATTTTTACTAATTCGGCATCTGATTTTCTTTTCGATAGATTTATGCATTTATCGAAGTTTTATAAACATTATTTTGTGGACTGAGCACAGTACGTAATTTCTACCACATCTCAAATCCGCAATCTGTTTTGGACTTTTTAATGTATAAAGGCGGAAACACTACAATTAATTTTAAGACTAACGGGTTGCACTGTGAATTGATATTTGTGTGACGTAGTGAAATATGAACTTCAATAACGTTTAAACTGTTATCTTTGAAAACTCAAAATCCCTCCCTACTCATCCTAACAGCAGGGATCGGGTATATGTTTTCTAGAAATTAAGCATGTTCAGAAGTTGCTTGTCACTGACAGAAGCAGCGTAATACATCAAAATGGTCTTCTGTAGTTTCTATAGGACCTTTCTTACAGAATAACCAGTGCTTAATTTCTAGAAAATAAAATACAGGATTCCTGTTTACAGGTGTGTATGGAGGAATTTTGAGTTTTGGAAGACAACAATTTTAATCGTTATTAAGGTTATTATTTGGGTTGGAGTGGAATAATATAGTTTATTACGTAAGTCAAATAACAATTTATATAGCAAATGAGTCACCCCTAAAATTACAACCCCCCCCAGTGGCACAGCGGTATGTCTGCGGACTTACAACGCTAGAAACCACGTTTCGATACCCGTGGTGGGCAGAGCACAGATAGCCCATTGTGTAGCTTTTTGCTTAATTACAAACAAACAAACCTAAAATTAATTATAGTTTTCCGCTTTCAGATAAAAAATAATCATGATCATGCAAAAAACGTATTTCAGATCTCAGATCTGGAGAAATGCGGTAGAAATTAAGCAGTGAAGCACAGAGAATAACACATAAAAGTAGCATGTCTACAAATTCGATGGTAATTCCTGCCAGTAGCATGGGGCTAGGGCAAGCGGACCACCGAAAATTATGCACGGAAAATAATGATAAAGTAAGATTGTTAAATATATGGGGAAAATGTTAGAGGGAGGGAGGCACAAAAAAAAACTTGTTCCAGGGGTCCTTTTGCATCTCTGCTATGCTGCTAATTCCTACAGCAGAAAACAAATATGTGTGTGTGTGTTAGCATTCATCGCCCAGAATTGGCCAGATCGATTATCGTAATTCTTTGTATGGTAACTTGAAACTATCCGACGATGTACATAGGCTATTTTGTTTTAAGATTTTTGCCATAGAAGAGGATTAAAAACACCCTGAAACAGGGCACATTACCACTTTACAATAACAACAAAACATTTGGCTTTGAATTTAAAGACACAAGTACTTAATCAGTTAAATGAGTCAATTACCACCTTCTATAAAGCAGGGCATACAATTGGCATCCAATTAGGTCATTAAAGATTTAATAAAGTAAGAAAGAAGGAGGGGACCATTACCTAACGTTGTCCTGTTTTGCTTCCTTAACAGGTACCCTCAGCTAGTCACTAACAAAAATGTTGATGTTAATGAAAATGACACAACATCCAACAATAGACTCACCTTGACGATAACTTGTATTTAGTTTTCGGTGAAACTTGTGGAGAGCTCTTTTGAGTTAACGTTGGAGAATCGGGAGGAGATAAAGGGGGTAGAGGGGGTGTCACAGACATACTCTCGCTACAGGTGCCATCAGCACTGAAGCCAACATCGTGAATTGCTTCTTCTTTTCTGTAAAGCGTTGAAGGTTTAGATTTATTAAATATCTGTTTCATTTCTGTTTCCACACTGTCGCTCCAGTGAAGGGCTTCTGTGTCCGGTGTCGCTGTTGCTATTGAAGCCTCGTAAGGTGGCGCTGTCGTAGTTTTGTTTGGCCACCGCACAACTCCTGCACTATGATCAGAGTCAATACTGGTGTCGAGAATACTTCCTTCGCTAGGAGTTCTACTTTTTACTGAAGCTGGACTTTTCAAGCTGTGAGAGCCACTACGTAACGTGCCTCGTCCGGATTCAGAAGATGACTTGTACTGGTCACTTGGAGTAACCATCTCATCTCGAGGAAGGCGTCCCTCTGATGATCTTTTATTATCTTGAAGCCCTGTAATCCTCACATATGGCGAACAAGAAGCACTTCCCATGCGCCCCTCTGTTAATTTCGACTTTGGATCAGTCTCACCCAAAGTGGAAGATCTCTTTTCATAAGTATCTTTTAAGCAGAGACGTGAACTATCCAGGGTGGAAGATTTTGTTCGAAAACCTTCCCCGTCTGTTGAGGGATGTTCTAAGTTCCAGTGAGTGTCGTATTGTTTCACGATTTTAGAATTACATGGAAGACGTTCAAAGATCCCTCTAGCGGAAGACTCGTGAGGCACTGCGACGTTATCGAAACTGGACTTTCTTTCTTGACAAGGTTTACCTATAGACTCCTTTGGAACAACTTTCTCGTACTCGTATGAAGACTTGAAATTGTGGCCCATGTTGATATATGTATGCTAAAGTTTAAAACACACACACAAAAACAGTTTTCTAAATTTATCACATTCTGCACAAGATAAGAATATTACAAGTGCCCTCAATTACATAACCATATCGTAATTTTAGCAATATTCTATAAAAATCACATTGACTCTGGCACCTGAAATTTACTAGAGGTTATTATTGAATATTATTATAAAACAACGACATTGCTATCTATTAATTGTTTCAAACATGAAAATAAATCAATACACGCATATATATATATATATAATATTATAAAGTTAGCTGGCCTATTCCAAGGTCCATAGTTCGAAGACTAATCAATAGAAAGCTATAATATTTGGTAGCTGAACAAGTGAGGCAATGAGAAAGTGTGACTACCACTTAATTGTAATAGAATGTGACACACAGTTGAATGATAATATTCGACTTTTAACAGTTGCATTTTACATGGTGTCGTATGATATTTTTCGGGTCTGTGAAGGTGTCCCCCGGTGGGTTGTTTGTTTGTAATTAAGCACAAAGCTACACAATGGGCTATCTGTGCTCTGCCCAATACCGGGTATCGAAACCCGGATTCTAGCGTTGTAAGTCCGCAGACATGCCGCTGTGCCACTGGGGGGCGGTGGTACAGCAGTAAGTCTACGGCCTTACAATGCTAAAATCCGGGGTTCGATTCCCCGCGGTGGACACAGCAGATTGCTTATCGTTCTGATCACGTGTATGGGAATGAAAGCTGATTATACGATCCCTGAAAGCATGTTCCGGCAATAACTTGACAGTTCGTGCAATGTTGGGTGGAGCCCCAACTTGCGTGAAGACTGTTTTATTGACAGTTCCTCTTCTGTGATGTGTAAGGAGAACAAAACATTCCAAGTTATATCAACAATCGATCATCTTTGTTAAATCTGTTTATGAATTTCCTATAAGCTGCTACATGATCCTATGTAGTTATGCTTTACAAGAACAATTATTATAAAACAACCGTGAACCATTTCTAATGGTAGAATGAATCCCGACATGTCTGATGCTGTTTTATGCTGTCACCAGTATGCAACTTACACTACAGCTCCTCCTGGTGAGAATTATTTTTGACTCTAAACTCCCCTTTCCTATCATCTCGCTACTCCCTCATCTCCTAAATATTCTAGCTATCTGATAATGTGTTTTCGAGTTATGCGGACAGTTGACTAGGTCAGTTAACTTTATAATAACCTTTTATACATATTTTGTCCTGTTAACAAAAGGGTTGATAACATAACTATGAAGAACTACAAGTTACTCACAGAAGATCATATAACAAATATTATTTTAAGTGAACAACCCTTAGTATTCTACAGGCATCAAAGAAATATTCGTAGTCTGCTGAAATACAGTACACTAAATCTGATGTCTGTCCTCAGAACCCACTAAACCCAACGCTGCGAAAGACCCGGATGTGCCACATGAAACTATGTAAGCAACACTTCTTAATTACTCGGAACCAAATTCACTTTCAATATGAGAAGATAACATATTACATTATATACTGTTTAATATGCTAGCAAAGTGTCTAGCTATACACTGAGTAAACAAGTTGTTCCTTCGGGAACTGTGTCCGTGAACATCTGAGTGACACAAGGAAACAACCTTGTCGACTCAGTAGTTTAGTGCATTACATTAATAATCTCTCTATAGTGTACATAATCAAAGTTACTCAAAGTTCAAACCGTAAATCTTTAAAAACCGACTAAACTCACAAACTGGGGAATTACCACTAGAAGGGGCTAAACAGATGTTTCTCCTTTCAATAACCTTAGCACATTAGAGTGTTTACATTTATTTTTCACGTCTGTATGTTGAATTTCTAGAAATGTTATTACCGTATTTGCCGGTGTATAAGATGATAGTTTTTAACTTTTAAAACAATGCCTGATTTTTACCACTCGTCTTATACATAGTTTCAAAAATAGAGTTTCAGCAAGAACTCTCCGGTTAATAGCATACTTAACCGAAACTACGTTGTGCCTTTTACTTTTGTTTGATTTTTTTGAGTAAGTGCGTTGACATCGTGCCAAATACTGCGTTACAATAACATTTTTGTAATTGTATAATTCGTTTCGATTCTTCATAACTAGAAGTTGTTTATCTCACGTGCTAGTTACTATTAATCAAGACATTTTTGATGTGAAATGTATCGATGTCATCCGTTACACTAAAATATTGCAAATATTACATAAAAAAATTAGTTTCTGTAACGTTCACTAATTTGTAAATGTATCTTACAAACTTTTCCAAGTAAATGTATTTTACAAACTTGTCCAAGTAAATGTATTTTACAAACTTGTCCAAGTAAATGTATTTTACAAACTTGTCCAAGTAAATGTATCTTACGGACAAGTTTCTAAAATACATTTACTTGGACAAGTTTCTAAAATACATTTACTTCGACAAGTTTCTAAAATACATTTACTTGCACAAGTTTCTAAAATACATTTACTTGCACAAGTTTGTAAAATACATTTAATTGGACAAGTTTCTAAAATACATTTACTTGGACAAGTTTTTAAAGTACATTTACTTGGACAAGTTTATACATTTACTTGGACAAGTTTGTAAGATACATTTACTTGGACAAGTTTGTAAGATACATTTACTTCTTACAAACTTGTCCAAGTAAATGTATTTTACAAACTTGTCCAAGTAAATGTATTTTAGAAACTTGTCCAAGTAAATGTATCTTACAAACTTGTCCAAGTAAATGTATTTTACAAACTTGTCCAAGTAAATGTATTTTACAAACTTGTCCAAGTAAATGTATTTTACAAACTTGTCCAAGTAAATATATTTTCTCTCAGTTAACCATATCCTTATTTTATTATCGGTGTCGATACATTTTGATTACAGAGATTTATTTCGTTTGAAAATTGGAGAGTTCACGGTTTAAAGATTTACTATGAGATGACTGGGTCTCCGAATTTATATCTTCTAACACATCACATGATTAGCCTATTTTGGATATGAAAACAGATGGAATATTCTAGAAACGTCTGTGGGAGTCCTAATAAAGTGGCCAACAGCATCTGTATAATTTTACAATTAAGCTAAGTATTTGAAAATTAACACCTGCCACACGAGCCACCCAGCATCTTTTAGTACTGATCCTAGGCTGGTCAACGAGGGGTCATTCCGGCAACTGGTAATCTACGGTTATTTCGATAAGTCTCGATGAATGAAGCTAAATATTTATGAAAATATTGCAATGATGAAATCTATATGGATTATATTTAGGTGGTACCATACTGGGCATTATACCATCCTTCTTATAATTACTCTTCATTGCAGAAATGGCATTTGTAATTTTTTAAAATCGCTAGGGAAGTTATTTTGTAATGCATCGTGCATCTGCTTCAATTTCAACATTGCATCTTGGGCTTTACTGTGCCGTTAGTTTCACACTATATTAAAACTAATGATTTTTTATATACGATTCCGATTCTTCTTTTTGATGATAACAAATAATGATACTGTTGTGGCTGTGATTTTATGTTTCGCTGTCACTGCAGTAGTTAATTGACGAATCTCCCAATAAATAAGCTGGTATGTCAAATCGATTGAGATATCTTCCCCTATCCGACCTGGATCCACGTTTTAGTTTAATCGTTACACTTAAACCATCACACTCACAAACACATCTAGAACATTTCAAGCATGTTTGATTGCTACATCGTTTTACATTACATTTACAAGTTAATATCTCCATGTTGGCTCTCATGGTTTTGGGTCAGGTCACGGGTCTGGTCCAGTGACATAAGCCTCGAAAAATAATTCCACACTTCTTTTCTGTGTACTCAAAACAACCCAAACCTTTCTGGAATAACTCATTTCTTTGGATCCACATCAAAGTGCCGGACTGGCTCGTGTGGCAGGTGTTAAAAAGATAAAAAAAACGTATCGCAATAAAATGATCTTCCTTACATTGGCCGTGATACAGTTACTCCAATAAGTTGTTCTTTCGCCGCCAAATAATTTGGAACAGGCATCACGAAGATTTTCTGTATTCGCATTTTCTTCACTTTTGTTAGGTTCAGTTTCACTACAGCTGTAAAAATAATTGTAAAATATCAGATAATGAACATACACTGAATAAGTTAAATGCAATTTAGCCTTTGAAATCGTAAAACTAAATTTTAATGTCTGATATCTATGACAGAATGTATATCCTTTTATTATAAACCATATACGTCTGATTAATTTTTAGTCTGCATATAAAAATGTTTTTATTAACATTTTATAAAAGCCTTAAATGAGAGTAATTAGAATAAGCTCCCTCGGTGGCACAGCGCAAAGTCTGAGGGCTAATAACGCTAAAAATAGAATTTCGATATCTTCAGTGGGCAGAAGACACATAGGCCATTAGAACAGCTTTGTGATAAACAACAAACAAAAGTTAAAAGAAAATTTGCCTATCACGACTAGTTATTTTGAAAATCAATATTAGATGTAGGTTTTGTATTGCTATCTTTAAATTATCATGTAGATTTAGCAGTAGTATGTACAAATTATCATGCAGCTTTGGTATATTACTATCTACGAATTATCATGTAGATTTGGTATAAATATCTATAAATAGCTTTCATATAACTATCTATAAATTATCATGTAGATGTGGTATTACAATCTATAAATTATCATGTAGATTTGGTATTACTGTCTGCGAATTATCGTGTAGATTTAGTATTACTGTCTATAAATTATCATGTAGATTTGGCATTACTATCTAGAATTACCATATATATGTGGTATTACTATCTACGAATTATCATGTAGGTTTGGTATTACTATCTACGTATTATCATGTAGATTTTGTATTACTATATATAATTTCATGTATTACCAGTGCTTGAAGCAGAACGGGATGCCGTCCCACTTCTTTTCAGGAGGGACCAGAATCATCCCACTACCTCTTAGTAGACTTTAAGCTTCTTAGAAGGGAAAAGTTCGATAGACGATGTAATAACTATTTACTGCGACAAGGGACTGGGGAGAGAAACGATATTTTTTTCTTAAAATGTCGTGTAAGAGTGAGGCAGGAATAATACAATGTAGTACACAGATGGAGCAATGTACCCTAATGCTACAGGCTCGGGCTCTGTCACCGAGTTCGTAACCACAAAGTAACCATCAGTGTTTGCATACTATAACTCGTAACAATTTACATCTGTTTATACTTAGTTTTATTGTTTTATTGCCCTTTGAATCGTGTCTAACTAATAATCCTGCCACACAAGTTCTAAATCACTCCGTGAAGTGCAGCTCACATTATTCCATCGAATTACGTAATGCACGAGCTGCTTGTGAGTATACCTCGTGAATAATAATTATTATTATTTTGCATTACACTGGGCAACAAAAAATTTGCTACTGGAGAAAACTCACGAGAATTGGAGTAATTTGATGGTGCTCATTTCGAAAATATAGTCATAATTTGTCCATTTCCTCTAAATGTTGATTTATTGTAATACCTCAATATTTCTGTGGGAAATACCATACAATCAACTCAGTACAATAGATTTATACAGTGAAATTAATTTTAATTGGACAGTTTAATGGGTAAAAGGCAAAAAAGGGGTGGAGTCAGACGCCTCTCTTTCAGTTGCCTCTCATCCACTAAATTGTTCACTTTGCCTCGCTATGCGCAAAGTCAAAATAAAGTCTGGCCTTCTTCTTTGCATTATACCCGCGATATAATTAAATTCTGCTAAACTTCGTTTCTTAAAACCTTTTAAATTCTAGTACTGTAAACATAAATTCTTTTATATTTTTTAGAAAATCATTTGAAATGTTGGCTGCCTCCAGTTTAGGTAAAGTCCAAAAATTCAAAAATCACCGAAACAGTTTCTGCTACATTGGTGAAAAATACAGTACAGTTTCACGTTGGAAAAAACATCACACACAAGGTAAAGGTAACTTACTACCACTATTTTGGGTGTAAAATAGGACTCCACATGTGTGTTATACAGTTTGCACATCTGGCTTGACACAGTGACTGAATAAGAAGAGAGCAAGTATGCCATTTTCAGTTCCCATGATATGGCATGAGCCCAAAGATAATCTAACTGACTGTTATTTTGCATGGCTAATGTTTCTGGATATTCAGGCAAAACTAAACAATACATTAGATATCCAGATATTGCTTCTGCAATGGAACCAGTACCTCGTGGGGATGGTCTTCCAGTGCCACATACACCAGCAAATTGGGAAACAGAAGAGTTATCCTGCAAAGAAGACAATGAATGATCTACATCCTTTTCATCTAATAATTCTATTCCTGTGGCACCTCAATGTAAGCTGCTTCATCTGATCACACAAGAAGAGCTAAATGATCTGATTCGTGACTTGTATCTATCAAAGCAGCATGGGGGGGGGGACTTCTTGGCTCTCGTTTACAGCTATGGAACTTATCAATTCCAGGAACAATAGTTTCAATTTACCAAAGTTGCCATCAAAGTCTTGCTTCTCACTACAGCATGCAACAGGACTATTTGTGTTTCTGTACAGATGTTGATGCATTAATGGAAGAATTAGGTACTGAACATCATCCTCAAGAATGGAGACTTTTTATCGATTCATCTAAAGATAGTTTGAAAGCTGTACTTTTACATAATGGGAACACCACATCATCCATTACTGTTGCTCATGCTGTGAACATGCAAAACTTATCAAAGCATGCAGATTATATCTGAGGCCATCAAATATGATCACCATAGGCGGAATATATGTGGTGATCTAAAAGTTATTGCCCTCCTGATAGGCCTGCAGAGTGGATATACCAAACATTGTTGCTTTTTGTGTCTCTGGGACAACCGAGATGATAAAAATCATTTCAAAAAGAAGAAATGACCAGTGAGAGAGAATTCCATACCAGAGAAACAGAATGTCTAATATCAACATTTAGTGAACCCTCAAATGTGTTTCTGCCCCCACTTCATATTCAACTGGGATTCGTGAAGACTTTTATTCAAGGAAGGAACAGAAATGGTAATGGTTTCAGATAACTGTCTGACAAGTTTCCAAAAATCAGTGAAGCAAAAATGAAAGAAGGTATCTTTGTTGGGCCACAGATTCGGGTAGTGCTAATGGATGATCATTTTGAAATAGTACTCAATGAAAAAGAAGTTTTTACCCGGAAATCATTCAAACTGGTTGTCAAAATGTTCTTACGAACTCACAGAGATGAAAACTGTGCTGTGATGATTGATGATATGCTCTAGAACTACAAGATGCACTTCTTGTACTCTCATTTAGACTTCTTTCCAAATTATCTAGGGGCAGTGAGCGATGAGCATGGTGAGAGCTTCCACCAAGATATTTCTAAGATGTAACAGCGATATCAAGGACGATGGAATCCTGCGATGATGGGAGATCACTGTTGGTTTTTAGAGCGTGAAACTGGGAATATACACAAAAGGCGCAACAGGTCAAGCAGATATTTTGAAACAAAAATAAAACCATGATGATAGCCTGAATGTATTTTTAGTATATAATATTATTACACTCATTGCTTTTTTAAACTAGCATTACTATTATGTATTGTTTTTGAACATTCTTAAATGAAATTTTGAATGAATAAATAAAGTTATTAACGAAAAAGTTCTTAATTTCAAAATAAATAAGAATATTTTGTATCAATCTATCATAACTCGAAAACTAGAGGGATAAGTAATTTTCAACGTGATTTTTAGAATCAGTATCATCGAATTATTCAGAAAGAGTTGCATTTTTTCTAGTAGTAGAGAATTTTTTTTATTGTTGTTGCCCGGTATTATCTTGCCTAATCTAACCTTACCTAACCTAATGAGTTTCTAATTTCTTTGCGTTTTAGTTACTTCTATAACAATAAATAAAGAATACACATGAAAAACAAGAAATATAGTCGCCAGCTTCAAAATTTTTACAAACCATCCAGCTTCCTCTTTTGCTCCACTTGAAGTAATAGGTATCAATATCTATACATTATCATCATATCACGTAGCTTTGGTATTACTCTCTATAACTTATCATGCAGATTTGGTATTAATTTCTATGAATTATCGTGTAAATTTGCTATTACTCTTTAAAAATTACTATTTGGTAGAATCGATTATACAATTTTTATAAATGAACTAATCGTATACCATTTTAGGGGTATAAGCCAGTTTGTTTATTGATAGTAATATCGATTATCAAAGTCAAGTGATATAAAATCAAGCCCATCTACTTATTATTACTTCTCATAAAGCTTTGTTTTTATAGTCCACAGCTTTCCATGCCCGAAAATTATCGAGTAATCATAAAACAACACTTAAGTAAAACAGCACCTAATCTCTCCCCCCCCCCCAAAAACAAAACAAATAAAATAATGGTCAATAATAAATTGACAGATTTCAAGTGATACGTATCTAGCACCCTGTTAGTAAATAACTTTTGAATATTGGATGGAAAGCAAAAACTTCAGAACTTCATTCAGAACATCGCAAAAAACTTGTATTTGTAAGATTTTTTACCAAAATTAGTCAAATGAGAAACGTTATTAACATTTCCAAAATTTGGTAAACACATCGACTCTTTTTATGCCTTTTTGTGGCTCTTTCTTTATGATCTGTTGTGGATCACCTAAGGTTTGCTTCCGATGTCAACGGCTATTAATATATCATATAGGAAAAGCACAACAGTTAAACTTTAAAAATTGTGCACATTCACGTATACTAAAAAGTTGCTCATAAAAGCATAACATTAGAAATTGTGGTTTTCCCATACATTTGTGGTCTTGCGACATCAGGAGATTCCCTAAGATTCTGGTCTCTATTCTGGAGATCATATAAATCTTGTGGCTCTCTCTGCGGAAAATATGATTCTGGCTTTTCACGTGACTGATCGCTTACAGCACGCGCTGGAAGGGACATACTTCTCTGAGGAAAACAAATATATATATAAGCAACATATCAAGACAACTCAATCATTCAATACAATTTCTTCAAACTTAAGTGAATTAATATATAACCAAATGATTCCTATCACACAAGTTCAATATGAAAATGAAAACTTTTGTTTATGTTTTTATTTACAGAACATTATTCAGAAGTAACGTAATAAAGTTTTACCAGTTCGTGGGTGGAAAGTGACAGCCCAGGATTATCTAGCCCTCTTTCGGTTGATAAGTTTGCTGCTCCATTGAATAATGTTGACTGTTCTTCTGTGTCTTTTCTTTGCTAAAATAGTCAAAATAACCGACTTTTTACGAAATTTCTATCGTATTGAAATTGTAACAAATGTTGGAAAACAGATATCTTATAACATAACAGGTATATTTAAATGTTCAACACAAAAGAAAAATCTTTAACGTGCAGAATAATACAACTAGACTGTAAAAGGTGAATTTTATTATAGAGTGACTAAGTACTTCAACAAGTAAATGAAATGACTCCACAACTGGAAACTAAAACATCATTGAACAAACACGTAAATAACAACTGGAAACTAAAACATCATTGAACAAACACGTAAATAACAACTGGAAACTAAAACATCATTGAACAAACACGTAAATAACAACTGGAAACTAATACACCATTGTACAAAAACGTAAATAACAATAGGAAACTAATACATCATTGAACAAACACGCAAATAACAATAGGAAACTAATACACCATTAAACAAACACGTAAATAACAATAGGAAACTAATACACGATTGAACAAACACGCAAGTAACAATAGGAAACAAATACACGATTGAACAAACACGCAAGTAACAATAGGAAACAAATACACCATTGAACAAACACGTAAATAACAATAGGAAACTAATACACCATTGAACAAACACGTAATTAACAATAGGAAACTAATACACCATTGAACAAACACGCAAGTAACAATAGTAAACTAATACACCATTGAACAAACACGTAAATAACAATAGGAAACTAATACACCATTGAACAAACACGTAAATAACAATAGGAGACTATACACCATTGAACAAACACGTAAGTAACAATAGGAAACTAATACACCATTGAACAAACACGTAAGTAACAATAGGAAACTAATACACCATTGAACGAACATGTAACTGCCAACAGGAAACTACTATACCGTTGAACAAACACGTAAATAATGAAAAACATACAAGTGATATATCCACTTTTCATGTAAATAGAATTCTAAATAGTTAACTAAATTATTGAGTTCATTATTATTATTATTATTAGTTCATTTGGTAGATTTTTGATAAAAATCAACAAATGTCTTGGGAAAAATCATCTTGTCAGACTCGCAATATTACAAGAAATATGAGAAAGTAACTTACTGTTTGCTTCTGTTGGTCATTAGTGTTACTGCCTGTTGGACTGTGGTTCAGAAGTGAGCGCAGCCTCTGTTGAAGGGATACAAACCTCTCGCCAACTGGCTTACTAACAGTCTACATATAAAGTTATAAAAAAGTCAAATATCAAAAGCAGTTAATGTAACTCATCCACTTCAGATGTGACGTATAATATTATCTAATCAAAAACACCTTAGGTGTGAAAAAAGTGCGTCCAAAAAAGGATTCAACGTGCGACTTACAGGAATGAAATCAAAATTGGCAGTCACACTGGTAGCTACAATTATAGCATTGATAAAAAGCTGACGGGAAATATTTATTCATTAGTTAACCAGACGGTGGGTAAAACAAAATACGCAGTCTAGCTAACTAATAATTTTGTTGTTTGTTATTAAATACAAAGTTACACAAAAGGCTATATGCTCTGCCCACCATGGATAACGAAACCCGGTTTCTAGCAGTATAAATCCGCTAACATACCACTGTGCCACTGGGGAGCAGTTAACTAATGAACAAATATTTGATGTAAAATTCTTATCTATGCTACAATCGTAGCTACCAGTTTGGCCGCCAATTTTGATTTCATTATTTTAAGGCGCACGCTGAACCCCTTTCTTGCCGCACTTTTTTTTTTTCACACCCAAGGTATTTTTGATTAGATATTATTAGATATTAATACACACCAACTAACCACACCAAATAAGAAAGTGACACTCAATAGTAACCAACATTGGCTTTATGATCGCAACCCTATTATTCGGAACAAACTTTTACTTT